CCCACCAACAGTGTAAAAGCGTTTCTGTTTCTCCACATCCTCTCCAGCATCTGCTGTCTTTTTTTTTAATGATTGCCATTCTAACTGGCGTGAGATGGTATCTCCATGTGGTTTTGATTTGGATTTCTCTAATGACCAGTGATGATGAGCTTTTTTTTCATCTGTTTGTTGGCTGCATAAATGTCTTCTTTTGAGAAGTATCTGTTCATATCCTTGGCCCACTTTCTGATGGAGTTCTTTTTTTTTTTTTCTTGTAAATTTGTTTAAGTTGTTTGTAGATTTTGAATAGTAGCGCTTTGTCAGATGAATAGATTGCAAACATTTACTCCCATTCTGTAGGTTGCCTGTTCATTCTGATGAGATAGAGAGATAGATAGATACAGAAATATAGATATAGATACTTTTTTTTTTCTGTGTAGAAGTTCTTTAGTTTAATTAGATCCCACTTGTCAATTTTTGTTTCTGTTGCCATTGCTTTTGGTGTTTTAGTCATAAAGCCCTTGCCCATGCCTGTGTCCTGAATGGTATTGCCTAGGTTTTCTCCTAGGGTTTTTATGGTTTTAGGTCTTACATTTAAATCTTTAATCCATCTTGAGTTAATTTTTGTATAAGGTGTAAGAAAAGGATCTAGTTTCAGCTTTCTGCATGTGGCTGGCTAGTCTGTTTTCCCACACCATTTATTAAATAGGGAATCCTTTTCCCCATTGCTTGTCTTTGTCTGGTTTGTCAAAGATCAGATGGTTGTAGATGTGTGGCATTATTTCTGAGGCCTCTATTCTGTTCCATTGGTCTGTATCTCTGTTTTGGTACCAGTGCCATGCTGTTTTAATTACTGTAGCCTTGTAGTATAGTTTGAAGTCAGGTAGCGTGATGCCTCCAGCTTTGTTTTTTTTGCTTAGGATTGTCTTGGCTATGTGGGCTCTTTTTTGTTCCATATGAAATTTAAGGAGTTTTTTTCCAATTCTGTGAAGAAAGTCAATGGTAGCTTGATGGGGACAGCATTGAATCTATAAATTGCTTTGAGCAGTATGGCCATTCTCACGATATTGAGTCTTCGTAACCACGAGCATGGAACGTTTTTCCAACTGTTTGTGTTCTCTCGAGCAGTGGTTTGTAGTTCTCTTTGAAGAGATCATTCACATCCCTTGTTTGTTATATTCCTAGGTAGTTTATTCTCTTTGTAGCAATTGTGAGTGGGAGTTCACTCATGATTTGTTCTCTGTTTGTCTATTATTGGTGTATAGAAATGCTTGTGATTTTTGCACATTTGATTTTTTGTATCCTGAGACTTTGCTGAAGTTGCTTATCAGCTTAAGGAGATTTTGGGCTGAGATGATGGAGTCTTCTGATTATACAGTCATGTCTAATTAGAGATGCAAATAGAGACAGTTTGACTTCCTCTCTTCCTATTTGAATACCCTTTATTTCTTTCTTGCCTGATCACCCTGGCCAGAACTTCCAATACTGTGTCGAATAGGAGTGGTGAGAGAGGGCACCCTTGTCTTGTGCTGGCTTTCAAATATCATACTGAATACGCAACCAGTTTTTGCGTATTCAGTATGATATTGGCTGTGGGTTTGTCATAAATAGCTCTTATTACTTTGAGATACGTTCCCTTAATACCTAGTTTATGGAGAGTTTTTAGCATAAATGCTGTTGAATTTTGTGTAAGGCCTTCTCTGCATCTTTTAAGATAATCGTGGTCTTGGTCTTTGGTTCTGTTTCTGTGATGGATTACTTTTATTGATTTGTGTAGTTGAGTAAGCCTTGAATCCCAAGGATGATTTTTGGATTTTTAGTATAGAAAGCGTTTCCCCATGTTGGCCAGGCTGGTCGTGGACTCCTGACCTCGAGTGAGCCACCTGCCTCGGCCTCCCAACATGGTTGCTTGAGATTTTTAAAACGAGGTCCTGGTTTCTGAGAGGGAAAGTGAGTTGTGTGCTCTGGGAAAGAAGATGCAGAAAAGGCAGTGTCTTCGTCCATTTGGGCTCCTATAGCAAAATACACTAAACTAAATGGCTTATAAATGACAGAAATTTATTTTTCGCAGTTCTGGAGGTTGAGAAGTCAAAGATCAAGACACCAGCAGGTTTGGTGTATGGGGACAGCTACTTTCTCACCCATGGCACTGTCTCACTTTGCCCTTACATGGTAGAGGGGCAAACAAGCTCCCTCCAGCCCCTTTCATAAGGGCACTAATCCCCTTAGGGGGGACCTGCCTTCATGACCTAATCACCTCCCAAAGGTCCTACCTCCAGATGCCACCATGTTTTGGGTTAGGATTTTAACATGTGAATTTGGGGAAAACATGTTCAGACTATAGCAGGCAGGAAGCAAGTATCTCCACCCCCATTGTCTGAGTCAATGGAAAAGAGAATGGAATTTCAGTGCCCTCACTTCATAATCTGACTTTCCCCCCAAACCCGATAACCATCCCTGTGTAGGAAGAAGGCTGGCAGGTCACTGCCCCTGCTCTGCCGTGGTGCTGAGTGGGCAAGGGATGGGATGAAGACACGAGCCGCCAAACCTTCTCTCTCTTCCATCTCCCTTGTCCCTGAACCGGGTTTGTCTTGGGAGCCTTTCCAATCAAGTCTTCCATGCCTCGTTCATTTTCAACTTTTGCTAAAATGATATAAAGGTCAGCTGGCTATTTCAGCCTAGGCCACCAGAGAGCCCTGTTTATGTGAGTTTAAGATTTAGGTCTAAGATTTAGACTGAACGACCTGCAGCTCTGAAATCTCAATGGTCAGCAATTCTGGAATAATGACCTATACTATCAGACACATGTGAAACTAATCTGTGGCAGAAAGACGGTTTGTAAGTGTATCATTGTATTAGTCTGTTCTCATGCTGCTAATAAATAATAAAGACATACCAGAGAGCGGGTAATTTATCAAGGAAAGAGGTTTAATGAATTCAGTTTTACATGGCTGCGGAAGCCTCACGATCATGGTGAAAGATGAAGGAAGAGCAAAGGTATGTCTTACCTGGTGGCAGGTAAGAGAGCTTGTGCAGGGGAACTCCCATTTATAAAACCATCAGATCTTGTGAGACTTACTATCACGAGAACAGCATGGGAAAGACCGGCTCCCATGAATCAATTACCTCACACCATATCCCTCTGTCCACACACGGGAATTATCGGAGCTACAATTCAAGGTGAGGTTTGGCTGGGGACACATACAAACCGTATCAGTCATGTGGAGTGGACCTTGCCAATAAGCCCTGTATTTGCTGTTCTGAATGCCTGTCTAAATATCAACGCACCTAGCAGAGAGAACTGGCAGGCAGAATAAGTGGTAGTCACATAAAAAATAAAGAATCAAGGCAAAGGACTCTTGCAGTTTTAAAAATATTTTATATTTTATTAGCTTTAGGGATACAAGTGGTGTTTGGTGACATGGATGCATGGCATAGTGGTGAAGTCTGAGATTTTAGTGTACCTGTCACCTGAGTTGTGTACATTGAACCCAATAGGCAGTTTTTCATCCCTCAACCCACTCACCCTCCCTGCCCCTCTTCTGAATCCCCAAAGCCCACTACCTCACTCTGTGTGCCTTTGCATACCCAAATGTTAGCTCCCACTTACAAGTGAAAACATGCGGTATTTGGTTTTGCATTCCTGTGTTACTTTGCTTGGCATTAACGGCCTCCAGTTCCATCCAAGTTGCTGCAAAAGACATTATTTCATTCTTTTTTGTGGCTGAGTAATATTCCATGGTATACACATGCATACCACATTTTCTTTATCTACCCATCAGTTGATGGGCACTTAAGTTGATTCCATGTCTTTGTGATCACGAATTGAAGGTAAAGGATCTTGATTAGGCTGTATTAATGTGTGAGGTCATCCCCATATTTCTAAAGTGCTAAACCTTTTCTGTGCCCAAATATTTGCAAGTGTCAGGCTCAGGATTTCTCTTCCTGCAGTGGCAGGTTACCGTCATTAACTCTATCTCTTTTTCTTTTCTTTTTCTTTTCTTTTTTTTTTTTTTTTTTTGAGGCAGAGTTTCGCTCTTGTTACCCAGGCTGGAATGCAATGGCACGATCTCGGCTCACCGCAACCTCCGCCTCCCAGGTTCAGGCAATTCTCCTGCCTCAGCCTCCTGAGTAGTTGGGATCACAGGCACGCACCACCATGCCCAGCTAATTTTTTGTATTTTTAGTAGAGACGGGGTTTCACCTTGTTGACCAGGATGGTCTCGATCTCTTGACCTCGTGATCCACCCGCCTCGTCCTCCCAAAGTGCTGGGATTACAGGCTTGAGCCACCGCACCTGGCCATCTCTTTTTCTTTACGTGTACCATTGATCTTAGACCTTTGCCTTGGGCTGCTACTTTACATTGTGCACCTAATTCTATTCAGGAGACTTTAGGACATGGCTTGTATGTGATAGAACCATTAATTAAAAATGAATTAGCAGCTGGGTGTGGTGGCTCACGCCTGTAATCCCAGCACTTTGGGAAGGCTGAGGTGGGTGGATCATGAGGTCAGAAGTTCAAGACCAGCCTAGCCAAGATGGTGAAAGCCCATCTCTACTAAAAATCCAAAAATTAGCCGAGTGAGGTGGCAGGCACCTGTAATCCTAGCTACTCGGGAGGCTGAGGAAGGAAAATCACTTGAACCCGGGATGGAGGGGGTGGAGGTTGCAGTGGGCCAATCCAGCCTGGGCAACAGAGTGAGACTCTCTCTCAAAAAAAAAAAAAAAAAAAAAAAAAAAAAAGAATCTAATGATGCCTTTTCAAAGATTGGAAGGAACCAAACCTTTCCTAGGTTTTCCCTTGGAGCAACATTCACTACCTGATTTAAGGATAAAGGAGAGAACTCTCATGCTCTTGACAAAGTACAAGATGAGTATTAACAAAAAAATCCCGACAAACTCGAAACCATGTTTTTCCGTAAAAAAATGGTGTAACCAAAATGGCGTCTTTGTAAGCTCCTGGTGCTGCATGCAGTGGATGGAGGCTGACAGTGGGTAATGCCTGTGTCTTCTTGCCCAGGCCAGTGAGAGGCGTGTCCACCTCGTCCTGTCCCGCCGGGTTCGGCAGCGGAGACCTGACATCTTTCAGGAAGTCGGCTGGAACGCCAGTGGCAACCGGTCCCCAGGGCCAGGGGAGAGGAGCAACACTCCCAAGGTGAGGCCCCGGGGCAGGTCTCCTGCTCCTGCAAGGAGCTATTTCTTGGGAAGGCTGCCTGCTTTAATATTTCTAAGGGTCGCCTCTGGACTTTTTCACGTAAACACTTTGACTTGTGAAACTACAAGCCCAAAGTCCCGTATTTAAGACTTGAAGAGATAACAGGTGTCTCCCATCCAAGCAGGAGGGAGGAAGGTCCAGGAAAGTTTTGAAACCTGATCATGCAGACCTGATACAGGGACCCGACTTCTAGTCTAACCCAAATAAATGGCATGTTTTTATCAAGAGTTACCTTGTTTAAGGACTGTATTCTATTCACCTTGAAGTGAAGCAAGCAGTTTGCTTGGTTTTTGGCTTTTGAATGTTTCAGTCTGACTAGAAATTAAAATAATGATTTCCCCATTATTTTTAGTTTTAGTTTGTGTTTGCCAAAGGGCCCAGGAAGATAATTTAAACACTTCGAGCTCATGTAACATTAGGGAGTGGTGGGGATTGGGGTAAACCAGAGAGCATATGTTACACGGCATTCACATCCAGAAAACTCTAAAACACTGTGGATCTGTGGGTAGAATTCATTATTCAGGCCAACAGTTTGCAACTTCTCTTTAAATGAAGTGACTCAGCCCAGTTTGTACGCCTCTCTGTGGCCTCTATTAGAGGCCATGCCGTAACCTCTTCATTTGGATGTGTGTTTAGCAGCACAAACCTTGTTTAGTTAAGAGTCCTATAGCTTTGGCTTGGCATCCTGTTGTGATGCTAATGAGCTTCTTTCAGTCATCTCTCCTGAGTTCTGGTTTAATCGCATCACTTGTAACTAAAAAAAATTCTTAAAAGTAGCTCATTCTTCTTGCAACAGAGAATAGGGAACGCCATGTGGTTGGAATAGCTTACAAATTTAGTTTTTGAGTAACATATACAGAAACAATATTCAAATGTTTTATTCTGGAACATCTCTGCTTTATACTGTGTTAATTACATTGCCGACATGGTTATACACCCCTCCCGGTTCTCCAGCCAGCCAAACCTCATAAATCCATAAATTCCATGTTGATTTACAATAAGGAGTCTAGACACTCCAAATATGTCCTACTAAAACATTTTATGAATAAGGACTCCCTGATGTCCTTTTGCTGGTAAATACCTCATGTTTAAATTTAACAGATAGTCTTTATTAGTGAAAAACTAGTTTATTAGCTTAATTAACTAATTGAAGTTTTTATCCAATTAACTGATTTTAGTTGAATTAGCTAGAATATGTCATATTCTAAGTCATCGAATTGTGGAGAAGGTGGCCTCCCTCTGCACTGTGGTTTTATCATTCCTTCCACCTCTTCATTAGAAAGAGCTGGGAGGATCCGATCACATTTCTGCTGCAGCCCTCTGTGGTGAGGTGTAATTCCGCGGAAGGTACAAACTGACTTAGTGGGAATTGTAATTGTTTCCATTTTAACTTACGTTCTATCTGCCTTCTGAAATAGCCTCACGAAAAGGTAATAGATTTAAAATAAAATGAAGACATATATGGCTGTTTGATGACTGCAGTTTTTATATTCTTACTAAAATTTTGTTAGGTTTAGGAAACCAGGAAGCTTTGTAAAAATAAGAGCTTAAACAAGGCAAAGGAATACCGAAGACGACAAAGCAGGATTTGTGGGACAGAAAACATTTAGCCAATTAAACAAGTGAAGGAATGATAGGCATCACATTTTGCGTGTTTCCCTCTGTGGGGGGAAGACTATGAGCAGGAAGAGGCGTAGAGGCACTAAATGCATTTGGAAAGTTTATTTCTAATGTAGAGTCTTGAGGTACATGGGTAGGTCATTTTGTTATTCTTTATACTTGTCTGAAATGTTTTATTCTAAAAATCTAAAGCAAATATTGTAAAATAGAAATATGTCTTATAGTTTGACAAATACTCAGGTACCCATGGTGTTTTCAATTGGCCTAAACTATTTTATCATAAATTATGTTTTTGAACATTGGGGAACATTCTAAGGTGTCCAAAGTAAGGTGAGGAGAGTGGAGAGAAAAGATAGATAGGCTGGGGACAGTGGCTCACGCCTGTAATCCCAACACTTTGGGAGGCTGAGGTGGGCGGATCACCTGAGGTCAGGGGTTCGAGACCAACCTGACCAACATGGAGAAACCCCGTCTCTACTAAAAAAAATACAAATTTTGCCTGGCATGGTGGCGCATGCCTGTAATCCAAGCTACTCAGGAGGCTGAGGCAGGAGAATCACTTGCACCCAGGAGGCAGAGGTTGTGGTGAGCTGAGATTGTGCCACTGCACTCCAGCCTGGGCAACAAGAGCAAAACTTTGTCTCAAACAACAACAACAACAACAACAACAGATAAATAGAAAAGTCATCTCTATCATACATAATTCTTCTTCTCTCCAGCCAAAGTCAGGCAACCCTGGGTGTCTGAAGCGTTCACAGATGGTTTTATTCCATTGCCGACGTTGGTCTCTTTCTGATTGAGAAAGGAAATGGTTATGGACTTTGGTTCATGAGACACAGGACACATGGGTATGTGTCGTATTTGTGGCATTTCAGCCACTGCATGCAGCCCCTCAGTACACAACTAAACATCTCTTGCTCACTGTAGGCAAGGCTGTCTGGTAAGCACTGAGCAGCTGTGAAAGAAGACTCTATAAAATATGATTACTTTTTTTAACTTAGAAAAGTTCGCAATACTCATAAATGTTTTTGAAATGCTGACTGACTACTATCAGAAATAAATGGCTGACTTGAGAAATTTGGGGTGTGGTTCACTCTGTGTCTTTAAGATTCCTCCATGGCCAAGTGCCGTGGCTCACACTTGTAATCCCAGCACTTTGGGAGGCCAAGGCACTTCAGGCCAGGAGTTCATGACCAGCCTGGGCAACAAAGCGAGACTTTGTCTCTACCAAAACAAATTTTAGAAATCTGTTTTTCCAGTGGTTTCCAATCTGTTCCTCCCTCCATTTTAACTCTTTCCTTTTGAAATGTAAACTTTATCTGAGTTAACCTATAGAATTTGCGACCATGTAACCCTATTATGGTTGGAGGTGGATAAGGTGAGGGTTCTTTCCACAGGTCTTTCTCTGTCATTGTAAGAACCACCATCATATTTATGCGGCTTTGATAGTTTTGCATGTAGAAAAAATACCCACCTTGCATTTTCTACACACAAAAACTAGCAAAGTTGTGAATTCATGTGCGGTTTTTCTGTCTGTGCCTTCAGCCCCTCCATCCTGCAATTACTTGTCACGAGAAGGTGGTAGATATCCGAAAAGACCCCGGCGAATCTCTCGGCATGACCGTCGCAGGGGGAGCATCACACAGAGAGTGGGATTTGCCTATCTATGTCGTCAGTGTTGAGCCCGGAGGAGTCATAAGCAGAGACGGAAGAATAAAGACAGGTAAAAAGTAAAGGGATTTTAAAGGCACTGGGGTGTCAGAGTATTAAGAGAAATTAATAGTTTGTTGTGTTAGGCAACCATTTTCAAAATTAATGAGAGAATGTGGGAGTGATCAGCCAGGACTTTTGCTACCCATTGGCCATGATTGGTTTGAGTATCGTTACTAGACCAGGTTCCACTCTTCTCAATTGCAACCCACCAAAGAACCACTTAGAATGAGCGGAACTAAATTACTACTTGCAAGTACAGCTAGAATCTCCAAACTGTTCCAGGAATTAATAGAGAACTATATGGTTATGAGCAAGTTGCCTCTATGAAATGGCATAATTTAGTTCCAGTCATTCTAAGTGGTTCTTTGGTGGGTTGATCCAGTGATGAAACATGAATTATTCCATTATGTGGGTTAGATAGAGAAAGTCATTTGATAGATTTGATTCAATGAATACTCATTAAGTGAAAGCATCAGGCCAGATACTTTCCCAGGTGAAAAGTATTTCTTTACTTTAAGCTCATGTGTTCTGACTTGCTTTGAGTAAATAAATGAAGGTGATATCCAAATTGCCTCTACCAATATGTATCATTAATACTATTGTCAATTCACGCAAGAGGGTAGCTCAGATTAATGAGGAATTACGGCATTTAAAAGTCCAGATTCAAGAGAGAGACTGTGTAGTTTCCCAAGTACAGTTGCTGAGTCTGAGGAGCTATCAGGAGATGGTATCTTAAGAGATTTAGTCAGCTGGCTGAAAGAGGCTTCTTTTGGGTCAGAAAGGACTCAAGGCCTTTCTCTCCTCCTGTCTTTTTGCTCTTGCTATGGTTATTCTGTATGAGAAAGATGATAAGCAAAGGGAGACACAAAAAACAAGATGGAGACAAAAGAATAGAAAATGGAAATAGGGGAGATGTATGTTTTAGTTTTTTCTGCAAAACACCTGGGTGGAGAATGATGAAGCCAAATAAAGTTGCTTGTCAAAATGACTTGTTAGCAGAACATGAGCTAGAGGATTATATGATCTGTATGGAAATGATCCCTCGCTTAGTAGGTGCTTTTAACCAGTAGTAGCTGTTTTCACCTTGGCAATGAAAATCTTCTTTAAGAGCGCAGCTCTGAGATTCCTCTGCCAGGCACTCTCACGGGTAGTTTCTTATTCGTTCAATCCATGTTTACTGGGTGCTTACTACCTGCCACGCTCTGTGCAAATGCTGGAGCTTTTGCCAAATGTTTTTATGCTAAAAACAAGAAACAAAGGAGTGAAAAAGTAGGGTTTCTTTCATTAAATAGTGAACGGGGCTAATTTTCCTCTCTCCCTTCCTTCCTTCCTTCCACAAGAGCTAACCACCGATAGGTGTGCTTTAGAAAACCCCAAACAAGTCTTACAGCACCTTGGAATGCACACACCGTTTACCATTTGCTATGTGAGCACCCAGCCCTCTCTTCATCCCTGTGTCCCTGCATCCCAGCCAGCCCCTACCTCCTCGCTCTTTAAGCAGAAGTCCTCGTTCGTGCTCTCACTAAAGGTAGCTTCTGCTTCTCTGGCCGTCAGGTGACATTTTGTTGAATGTGAATGGGGTCGAACTGACAGAGGTCAGCCGGAGTGAGGCAGTGGGGTTATTGAAAAGAACGTCCTCCTCGATAGTACTCAAAGCTTTGGAAGTCAAAGAGCGTGAGCCCCACGAGGACTGTGGCAGCCCAGCAGCCCTGGATTCCAACCACAACGTGGCCCCACCCGGTGACTGGTCCCCATCCTGGGTCATGTGGCTGGAATTACCACGGTAAGTCCCAACGCCACATCCCTGTTAGGGGCGTGGGAGGAAACAGTTACATTTCTTAAACCACGCTTTCACTTTCCAGGGCTGATTCATGGCACTAGCATCTTAATGAGACCCAATCTTGGTTGTGGGACTGTAAAATAAGTCTCTCTTCCTATTTGTAACAGAAACTGCATGTGGGCATTCTGGGGCAAGGATGCAAGCCTGGATGTGGAAACACTGTTAGGTGTTCGGGTTGAGGCGCTCACAGGGCTGCCATGTACAGCTAGCTGGGTAGGTTGTCATGCAACAGGGAACTTCCTAGCCAGGCAGAGCGGGCAGAGGCCCAGCCTGTTTTTACACGCCCTGGAGCTGAGCTGCACCACCTAGGAGAATGTTCACCTTTGCCTAATCTGCCAGTGGCAGCCCTGGGACCTTGCAGGGCAGGGAGGCTGACTGCCTCCTGTGGCTTTACTTTTTTTTTTTTTTTTTTTTTTTTTTTGATAATAGAGTCTTGCTCTGTCACCCAGGCTGGAGTGCAGTGGCACAATCTGAGCTCACTGCAACCTCGGCCTCCTGGGTTCAAGCAATTCTCCTGCCTCAGCCTCCCTGAGTAACTGGGACTACAGGAGCATGCCACCATGCCCAGCTCATTTTTGTATTTTTAGTAGAGACAGGGTTTTGCCATGCTGGCCTGGCTGGTCTCAAACTCCTCATCTCAAGCGATCTGCCTGCGTCAACCTCCCAAAGTGCTGGGATTACAGGTGTGAGCCACTGTGTCCATCCAGTTTTACCTTCTGAGTGGCGTTGGCTGCACATTAAACAATGCCATAGAACATTTCGCCTTTGCTAAGGTGTTTAAGCACCTGTTGTTTGGGGACACTCCTTCGATCATCTCTCCTTAGTGCCTGCCCCTGAGAAGTTCTTCTGTAAATCTTCTGGAAGTAGCTGGGTTGTCATTTTAGTGACATTTTAGAGCCTTACATGAAGTCATTGTCCGAATTACTTCAGCGAAGAATTTGGGGTCAGCCCTACAAAGTGGCCAGATACAGAAATATTCAAAGAACACATAAGTTGATGTTTGCTCACCTGCATCAGAGCATAAACTATTAGCCTTCAGATGATTATCTTGCTAATTCTAATGTGTGATTTAATGCTAAATATTAGCATCATGGAAGAAGATATACTCGCATAGGACTAAATAAGGAAAAATGGAAGTGAGTTTTAGTACATTTAGTTTTAGCACCTTTTTCTGGAGGGTAGAGATGAGTCTTTGGGTCTTTTAAAATTGCAAATGAATTTTTCAAGAAAAAACTCCATCTCAAATACAAGTGACCTAGATTCCTTTTTGAGCCTTCACTAGTTGATAAATTATTTTTTAAATCAGTATATTTTCAGAAGTCCTTAAGCAGTTAAAATCTGATCATTGAGTCAGTTTAAAAATCTTTGGACATTTTGGAACTGAGCCTGAGTGAAAGTAGAGAGGGTTACTTTAAAGGTTTATTTTTTAAAACATTTCTGAAACTAAGATCTATTAAAATCATTTTGCTTTTTGTGTCTGAAAGCCATTCTTTCATATAATCAAAAGTTTCTCATTATTCATATGTGTAAGAGAGGACAATGCATGGTGTTTTTTGCTCCAAATACAACCAAGTGAATGGCTTTCTTTCCCTCTCTACCTTTCGTTATTTGCCCTGGGTCATGGCACTTCTCTGCTTTTGCTAGAAGTAGAGTCTGGGCTGGGTGTGGTGGCTCATGCCTGTAATTCCAGTACTTTGGGAGGCTTAGGTGGGCCGATCACGTAAGACCAGGAGTTTGAGACCAGCCTGGCCAACATGGCAAAACCCGATCTCTACTAAAAATACAAAAAATTAGCCAGGCGTGGTTGCATGTGCCTGTAGTCCCAGCTACTCGGGAGGCTGAAGCACGAGAATTGCTTGAACCTGGGAGGCAGAGGTTGCAGTGAGCTGAGATCGTGTCACTGTACTCCAGCCTGGGCAACAGAGAGAGACTGTCTCAAAAAATAAAAGTAGAGTCTGCACTTTGTCCATTTCCTCTAAATGGATAGTAGTTAAGGAAGCATGATATCCCGACATAGACAACGCTGATTTGCAGAACCCTGGAGATTCCTAGTTTCCTTCATTCCATCCTCTCCCTGTAGTAATAGAATAAACATGGTAGAAAATTCAGAGTTCACCAAAGAGTGTAAAGAAAACAAAAAGTAAGTCTCCCTCCCTTTAGATCCATTCAATAGAGGTGATCACCGTTATCAATTTCTTATGTATTCTATGTCAGAGGTTGGCAAACTTTTTCTAAAAAGGGCCTGATAGTTTAGGCTTTGAGGGCCACACAGTCTCTGGGCAATTACTCATTTCTGCTGTTGTGGTGTGACAGCAGTCACAGACAGTATGTGAATGAATGGGGACGGTTGCGTTCCAGTAAAATTTTACTTATAAAACCAGGTGGTGGGCTGGGCTGCAATTTGCTCACCCCTGGCCTGTGTTTATATATAGACACACACATATACACAGACACAATGGTAGCATACACACTCCTATGTACCATGCATTTTATTTAAAAACAAACCTGATATATCTTGATTATCTTAATAGGCATTGCACCATCGTCGTGTCCACTGCCGACAGGGACTGGTTGAATAAGTTATGGTACATCTGTACAGCCATGCGCCAGGTTGCCTGCATGTCAAATTGTTGCATCACACTTCATTCCTATAGGAGTACAGAGGCATTGCATCACTGCTAAGTAGCACTGAATGGTGCGGAGAAGTGGGAGGCTCTTGTCACGTCTTTCCCTCCATATGTAGCTTGGTCTTTTCCCCTAACATTCAAAATAACTGTTCTATTATTTTGTTGCTGCTTTTCAGGGACTCTAGATATTTGTTTCTTTTTCTCTTTGAGACAGAGTCTTGCTCTGTTGCCAGGCTGGAGTGCAGTGATGCAATCTCAGCTCACTGCAACGGCTGCCTCCTGGGTTCAAGCGATTCTCCTGCCTCAGCCTCTGGAGTAGCTGGGACGACAGACGTGTGCCACCACACCCAGCTAATTTTTGTATTTTTAGTTGAGATGGGGTTTCACCATGTTGGCCAGGATGATCTCGATCTCTTGACCTTGTGATCTGCCCACCTTAGCCTCTCAAAATGCTGGGATTACAGGTGTGAGCCACCGCACCTGGCCTGTTTCTTTGACATCTTTTATATTTCATATCTTTAATGTTCTCTTGGATCCTTTTCAACTCTTTTTTTTTTTTTCATTTTGATTTCTTGGCTTTCAATTTTTATTTTAGGGTCAAGGTACATGTGCGCGTGTGTTATAGAGGTAAACTCATGTCACACGGGCTTGTTGTACAGATGAGTTCATCGCCCAGGTACTAAGCCTGGTACTCATTAGTTATTTCTTCTGATCCTCTCCCTCCTCCCACCCTCCCCCCTCAAGTAGGCCCCAGTGTGTGTTGTGTCCCTCATTGTGTCCATGTCTTCTCATCGTTTAGCTCCCATTTAAGTGAGAACATGAGGTATTTCATTTTCTGTTCCTGAGTTAGTTTGCTAAGGATGATAGCCTCCAAATCCATCCAGATTTTCACAAAAGAGATGATCTTGTTCTTCACTGTGACTGCACAGTATTCCATGGTGTATATGCGCCACATTCCCTTTATCCAGTCTACCATTGATGGGCGCTGAGGTTGATTCTGTGTCTTTGCTATTGTAAATAGTGCTGCATGTTTTCTTGGCTTCCTTGCATCTGTCCTTCAGTGCTCACTGTGTTTTCAATATGATTTCTGTTTGTTTGTAACCACGTTCATTGCTGTGGTGTTTTAATTTTTCTCTTCCACTTTTACATTCTGTTCCATCAGCTCATTTCTTGTGTTGTCTCCCCATAGCTTCCTTGAAGTCTTATCTCTGCATCCATAGAGCAGTTGCTTCAGAACTATTTTAAATTCATAGTAATGTGGCTGGAGATACATTTTATTTTCTATAGTAGCACTTTGTTTCTGTGCAGCATTTGTCTGGTGAGCGGTTTTGTCCGTTCCTATTTTCCTGTTACTTCCTCTCTCCTCCTGTCTTTTGTAGTGCATCTCTGTTTTTGTTTTTGTTTTTTTGAATCTTTGAGTGAGGTAAATTTTCTGAGAAGCTATTTGCTGCAGGTTCATAACAGGGAAAGAACCAGGGCCATATTCCAGATGGTGGAAATTTCTCCTCATGGCACCGGGTCATGAGTGTTTATTGCTCCCCAGCTGACTAAGACCAGCCTGGCAGAGCCTTTCACATGTGTAGACTCTCTTCCTCTGCTTTCCCACACTGGCCAGCTGCATTCCATACCTGTGCATTATATCTTGGCTTCTCATTGGCTTACCCATCCCTCTCTTTTCTGCCAATCTTGGCCCAGGGAAGCCTGCTAGCAGCCAGCCTTCCTGTGTCTGGGGTTCCCATGCAGCATGGGCGTTTTGCCCGTCAGAGTGGCCATTTGCTAAGACCTCAAGGCTCTACTGGCGTGGTCTATCCTCTCCAGCTGTGGGTGTCTTCTCTTCCATCTTTCCTCTTTGACTGCCTTTGGCACCTTTCTCTCCTATGTGGTGACTCTTTGTTTTGTTTAAGATGGAATTTACATTTCTGTTTCCAAGTCTCCAAGTTGCTTTTGTGGTGGTGTTTAAAAGAAGAGGAAACCCAAGCTTCACTCTGCCATTTTGCAAATAGAAGTGTGTCCTCCTGGTGTTTCTCAGAAACATCAGTAGTCAGTCACACCCCTAGATCAGGCTTCAGATAGTCCCAGGGTATGAGCCCCCTTCAGCTTTCATGAGAGGGGGCATCTGCTTCCACCTCTGATCACAACTGCTCAGAGCCTCAAGGACACCAGTTTCTCCCTGACTGACGCAATACCACTGGCTTAAATGTCTCTAGCCATTTAGCATGAATATCATTCATCCTAAGAATTTCAGGACATTTGTCGTATCTCAGCAAAAGTCATGTTACTTGAATGAATAGAGTTAAGCTGTAAATGGATATTTTT